TAATATTTATCATGTACATCATTCGACTATATTTTACTCAGGATCCAGGTACTCAGAAAATATTACTTGTCGTTTTAAGTATATGAAAACTAGTCACTTAGAGATAAAGGAAATTCATCATGAATAATTTTAATTTTCATCAACAATCCGTCATTTTTCTGATATCAAAATACTAAACCTTTCCTATCTTTCAAGTAATAAAGATCGCGTAACTTTCTTGTGATTCCTTTACCCCAACTTAAAGAAGTGCTCAAAATTACTGTCACTTCAAATGACCTCTGAATATAATTTCTCCATGTCTAACTAGTTTGCTATAGAGGCATGATCTAGTGATTTATTTTATCCCACTTCGAAAATCAGCCTTAATTCTTTATGAGCTATCAACTGATGCTTGACAGTGACTTCCTTGTTGTAAATACGAATATAATCGATATAAGAAGTAAATAGCAAGGAATATCAAAGTACACTATCATGGACTATTCAGTGATATTTAATTCATAATGTTCATGACTAGCATCGCGGAACATGGGAAGTTTAAGCTGTTCGTAAAATAGTTCTCGAAAATACCTCGAATAATGATTGTGCATTTTAAACTAAAAGAACTTATGCATTTCTGAATCCAGTTTGTGTAAGTTTACTAAAAATTATAGTGTAGTCAGAGAAGCTCATCTATTATATTTCTATAAAGCTAAAACAAAACATCACATGAAAAATAAATCTAAATAGTTTAATCTATATTTACAACAACTGAGTTTGGTTCATTTCACTGATCTCAAGGCACACGTAATTTCATTTACTGAATAAAAAACTTGTGTCTTTTTTCCCTTTCTTTTAACAAATCCTTGTGCCGATGTTCACTCATATTCATCGTTTTGGACTCCATTTCTATATATGTATATACATATATAATGGGTAATATATTTCTGATCTTATGCATAAACGCAATATAATCTATGCATATTTGATTGTTCTGCTTGTATCCGATACACAATATGAATGAATCCATGCTATTATTCGTTGTTGCATTTGTTCTGTAATGGATGATTGCTACTCTGTGTAATAATGATTCCATGCTCATTTATGTGCGCTTATCAAATTTTTTAAAATATTTTCCTGTTGTGGATTATATTCACTCGATCGATAAATTATGATTTAATTATGGTTTATTTCATAACACATTACTGACATCTCTCCTTCTATTTCTTTTTTTATCAATCTCTTTCTACTTTAATCATGATATCTTATACACAAATTGTATATGATATGCACAGAATTTCATTGTAGATCGGCCTATTTTACCTGATCCAATATTATCTGTACCATTATCTAAATGGCAATCAGATGATTTATTGTTATTAGTTTCTGATTCGTCAAAAAAATATGATAAATTAAAAAAGATCCCTTTTAATTGTCGTTCTTTTATTAATGAATTTCAGAAACAACCACGCTCTCTACATCATCATTATCAACATCAACACCGACCAAATCATCATTACTACAATCCTCCCAATAATCGTTATTATCCACGTCATCATAAACAACCTCAAAAGAATTATTCGAATGCTCATTACACACAATTATATAATTCATCTAGGAAAGAGCCAGTTCGTTCAAATAATAAAATACGAGGTTCATACAGTAGCGGATACAATACTAAGCAATTTCAAACTGACGAGGTAAGTATTCACATAACAAACTACCAAATATATTTTTCTAACTTATAGACATTTGTTGTACCCTCATTTATCTAGGCACTTCACTTTCAATCATGATTTTGTTAGTTCGAATCCCACATTATCTCCCATGGTAATAGAGTCCTATATTTGAAAGTAATTGTTGCTGAATTCATGTTTGTTAAAATTTAGGTTATAATCATGTAGATTCTATCCATAAGAAAAAAGTTCCAGTGTTGTTCCGAAATACACCATAAACTGATTAACGAAAAATTATAGTTATCCAGGCTGGTTTTGTGTGGTAGCTGTAACTGTAAAATTTTAACGTGTCATTATTGAATGCAGTTTCAACATCCTGAAATATCTCTTGGGAAGGTGATAAAAATCACCACAGTAAATCGAACACATATGAGGTAGTAAAACAAATGAATATTTAGTTTGTATTGCAGGTGATAAAAAACTGAACGGAAACATTTATAATCGTTATTCTGAACTTAACATTTACACATAGAGCTAAAGATAAATACCGCAGTCAGTTAACATCTTACTTTGATTAGCATTCATAAATCTGTAATGAATTTGAACACTAAAATCTGTTGATGTAGGCTGTGACCCTGATAATCTAATCTGAGTAAATGGTTTATTAGCTAATTTTTTGTGGACTTATGTGGCAGGACTGAATATAGTTGTACTGGATAAGATATTAGATAAATATACAAAACCCTAATGAGTCATCCTAATTCTGTAGGCTACTTTTGTACTGACTAAAATGACTGACACTTAAAAATTGCATACATGCACACTCTATTTACAAGTGGTCGATTGTGTTGAATGTCTGTAAAGTAGCGTACATAACCATGTCCGTTCGCAGAGCGGTGATATAATTCCTGTTGGGTTAGTTATCTCAATCGCGCTGTTTGGAACTTTCGTACACTGTACTGGTAATTCGCTACTGACTTCAGTACTGTGAACGAAACTATCTCCTTCCTTTTCCTACCTCATTAAATAGGGTAAAAACACGTTTGGCAGATGAGGCTCTTTTTTGACTCAGTGTAATCAATCAGACTTGTCGATTGCATATCAATAAAGATATTTACCCTGAGTGTTTACCGCCAACACAAACGATCGTGAGAAATGTATGGAAGTCCAATGAACAGTGATCATACTGACTAATTCACGGTAACATAGTTCCGATTTTCGTAATTTTTATTCGGTGATTAGATATCCTCAACACTATCACAAATATTCAGTTTACATTCAACATTACATATAGCTGACAGTGGGATTTATACTTAATTGTTTGTAAGATGGCATCGCAGTTTAAATGGCATCCGGTTAACCTTTTTACAGGCTGGACTATTATGGACAAATCTTTCTTAATTGTCAGTGACAGTACGGTTTAATCATCATTCATGTAAGTTTAGGATAACTATCCTCACTAAGTTTTTATTTACTTCACAAACAATTTGGAACAACTGGACACCCAAAATAATCTGCATCACATACTGAGATTAAGTACCATATTTTTATACGAGATGTCACTAAATGCCATCGATAACCATCGTTTCCTTAACCACCTCCACAAAAATAAACAGTGCTTGAGTAAAGTCAAAAAAGACCATGAATGGAAATGTGGACTCAGAGGTGTATTCGACCAAGTTCATATATGTGTCCAGTTAGTTGACTACTAAGTGTAACAATTTTCAATCATATTCTATATAAACATGTATACGAAATATATTATTTTCTGATGTATATACTGTTTGTAGAGATAGGCAACTATCAATCTAAAATACTTTAATATTCTCATTACAGAAAAACAAGCCTAGGTGTTCCACAAACAATGATAAAATTCCGGTGAGTGGGATGAACATTAGTGAAGACAATCAAGTTGGTACTGATGAGCCGATTCAAACAAACGATCCTACTGAAGATTCCCCATATTTTGAGCTGGACTTTGCTAGCGGAATTTTCGACGTACAAATTCACGAGCGAGCTAGATCCTTTTTAACTCTAGGTATCGATGACAGTGAGCTTTCTCAAAGTGATTGCTACACAAATATATCTGAATTACATACGCATGGAATGCATCGAAGTCACTCTCTTCCGTCACTTAGAGACTTGGAAAGAAATTACCAGCCACATTCATTTGAGGACTGTACAACACCGACGATCAGCCTTAATACTGAAGGAGTTGCAGATTTATCAACGGAAGTTAATGCAGTAACTACCTCAGTAGAAAAGACAAATATAAAATCTGACAATAACGTAAATATATCGAGTGAAAATGTTTGCGGTAGTGATGTAGCACAATAATGCAATAATATGGAGAACGAAAACCGACGATAACGCAATGATCTCCCAAAAATGTAATGTTTGGATCACTAACAGTCAAATGTATAGCCTCATTGTTTCTCTTTACCTCTTCTTAGATTTTTTACTTGTGTGACTTCGAACATGTTTTTACTCACTGATTGTTATGACATCACCTTAACTGCAATGAGATACTTCACTCGCTCCTTTGTGATTATGGAATAACTTGATTAATGATATTGTTTATTATTTGCTAGTTTTCTATGACAAACTTATTGATAAATGAAAGGCCATATCAGTCATATAACATTTTTTCGATTTCTTTAACATTTAAAACATAAACTGTACAAAAAGCTAGAGCGTTAAAACCAATAAGTTAAGAGTTAGTGTATAATGATGATGATACAAGTAGAAATTAGCTAACATTTGAAGAATATAAATTACCAAATTCAATTTTTGAAATATCATGCACGCAAGTGTAATCTGATGCACATAAATATTCTAACAGTGTAGCAATCAGTCAACAGTTCGATTACGTTGGAACATTTAACCATCATATTTTTATTTTCACCAAGTAACTAGTATGTCAAAAGTTATTGTATGTTTGACTACAACAAAAAAGAACAAGCATTGCTCTAGTTCACCATTTGACCCAGTTTTTAGAAATCTTAATCACTGCCGGGTAGACCGCTGTATTACAGCAGCATATTTTTTTAAACCTCGTGATATTTTTTTCAATTATTTTAAAGCAAAAGATTATTTTTCCGACAGATTTTTTTCTTGGGCCTGGAGAACGAGCAAAACACACACATACATACAAAATATTTTAGTCAAACAACGACTAACATTCTGACAGACAGTCACTCAGCTCAAATAAAAAACATGATAGAATATGCTCTACAAGTAACCTAGCTAATGACGAATCGTAACACGTCAGAATATATGAGTGCATCTAGATACACACAAACATACATACATTGCATAAGTTGGAATTTTATAATTTTAGTTCAAAGGTTATACAGAAAACGCTTCAGGTGGAATTTTGCCAGCTGAATTCATAGTTTCGAAAGCAGTTAGTGCAGCATTAGCATTCCATTCATACTCTTCTAGACACTGTCTTGAAAAGGGAATGTTCATACCGGTGCGCCGACTAAATTCAATTACCATATTTTCTTTTACTTCAGGTGCAGAAAGATCAGAGCTGAGAACATTTTGCTGTTGATTTGAGGCCTGACTGTCCTGTTTGCATCTTGTAGCCATTTCAGTAATGTATTTCTAAAATAAAGTTTTCAAGTTAGGAAGCAGTTATTTGAAGTTTAAATTGACATCATTATTATTTTTATCTGATAGGGTTATTTAAGACTAAAGAACGAGATCGTTCATTTTCAAAACAGCTTAGTAGTGTTCAACATTTTCATAATCCAATTTTCGACTAAACTAGCTACAATAAAACAATTTATTATCACTGACGCTAGTTTTATAACATGCAGAATAATGATACTAATAATTATTCAGCACTACGCGATGTTCTTTCTTGTCCTGCTTCTTTACAATTGCTGTAATTTTGCCTGCGGCAATATTTAGCACTATGAATTTAGTTAACTTCATCAAGCAGAAAAGTTCAAAAGCTAGAGACTAGTGGGACTCTTATAGAAAAAGATGGGACAATGATTCAAGTTGTGACTAAGTGAGTGAGACGATGAGTGGAACATTTTAAAGAACTCTTCAAATGGATTTTATCTACTTTGTGAATGCTTATGGTCTAAATGACTGGAATAAGACAGCAACTTTCAGCGAAGCAGAGAAAGGTATAACTAGGAGTTAGAAAATAACAAGTCGTAGACGGTTAATTTGAGTTGTTCAGTTAGATTGATGGAGATGTTATATAGAGTTTAGGGGTTGAACGTCATTTCATCTGACTGCTCTTGACCTATGATCATTTCAATTGATAAGGAATGACTGGGAACAGTAAATCTAGAACAACCAATCAAGTTCCAGATCACGTTATTGGTAAACTGACCAGATGTTAACTCCACAACCATTCCTGAAACATATTCTTACTCATCAAAATCCGACTGAACCTATTTCCATTTAATTAGAGACGACTCTATAGATTTAGATAATGCGGCATAACTAGGTACGTGAGCCTACGAAAAACACTTTATTTAAAAACTACTATTTGAGAAAAAGACTATTGTAAGGAGTAATATGAGCCAAAGACATTTGGTGTCTGTCGACTATTTCTTTTTCTTTTTTTTCATGGACATATCTCTAGGGTTAAGACTTTTTTTGTTTATTTATGGAGGAATTTATGAGTTTTAAGAATTGATTAAAATCTGGTCTGGATTCATATCTGAATTAACTATAGTGAGTGCAGCAGTTCAGAGTATTGACTATATAATTTACCTTGGGAATCCCTAGTTAATGCCTAACGAAATCTCGGCACGTCTATAAATAGCTCACTTAGCTTTCATTGATTCGTATAAATTCTGGTCCAGATGAGATTAACCTATCTATTGAAGAGGATAAGCTGATAATCAGTTTGCTTCATGTTTACTTATGGTTATGGAATATAAATCAGTCCTAGGCGTTTGATGTTTTCAGAATTCCGTGAGTATAGTATAAAAATAGTATAAGGGTTGTAAACAATTGTGTGAGTTGTGACGGGTTGAACACATCACGCATTAGTCTGTAACTGATCGATTACTGCGTTAAAGTTGCAACCGATTTAGATCAGCAATTTCACTATAATACCTTATTGTGGTTTTAAACATTTTAATAATATATAATTTATTGGTATACATCTATTGAAACGTGCATCGAGCCAAAGGTTTTCACATAGTTTGGCTTATAAAGTGCTGCAAGTATATGCATAACATGGGAAATTTCTTCGTAAGAACAAATGCGACGATATTTAAATAAGCAGCGTTTACCTTACACAAAGAGGTAGTTGGATTAGACACAATATAATCATCTTGCACTATATGACCACCTGGTGCGATCAGTATCATAGTTCTAGTAAAACACCGAAGGACTTTGCGAACAGATTTTTCGTGTGAGCTTGAGTTGGTGGAACTTGAACCCATAGAAGAAACCTCGTAAAAAACACCACCCATTGTAAACAACATTTGAGTTCCCTGTGAATGATGCAAAAATAATATGGAATACAAATTAGTATCAAGGTATAAAATTCCGCATGTAACTTTTCTAGAGTTACTGCAGTAAAACCATTCAGTAGAAATCAATCTTGACAAAAAAGCTGACCAGAATAAATAAATAAAAATTAATTAAAACACTGCCCTGTGAGCTGAAGGATCTTCATTTAAAAGAGATAAAACGCCTTATGGTGAAAGCCGTGATTGATCGGAAGTCACAAAGCCCATGCCCCTTCTAACAACCACAGCAACAATTTATATAGGAACATGGAATGTTCGGACAATTTATGTAAATGGGAGAACCAATCAACTAGATACGGAAAGGAAGAGATACAACTCGTCAGTTCTCGGAATAAGTGAAACCCATTGAACACAAACTGGACAGAAAAGATTAGATTCAGGAAATATGCTTTCGTACTCTGGTCACGAAGAAGAAAATGATCCACACACTCAGCAAGTGGCTCTGATGCTCTCCAAACAAACATGTTAGGCACTTATAGGATGGGAATCTCATGAACCCAAGATCATCAAAGCACCCTTCAAAACAAAGAAGGATCAAATCACAATGAATGTTCTCCAATGTTATGCACTCATCAATGATGGCAATGAAAACGACGAAGACTAGTTTTACGACAGGCTGCAATAAATCAAAGCGAAGTGTTCAGCAAAGGACTCGACCATCCTGATGGGAGATCCAAACATCGGAAGACCTAACAGTCACAACGGAAAAAACTACAACAGAAGGAAATGTCAAACAACTATATGACGCAACGGAGGAACTGGTAGGGAAACATAGTAAACCAGAGAGACCAGTGTAGGACAAAGAAGGCAAGTCAATCACTGAGATTCAAGGACAGAGGAACAGATGGGTAGAACACTGTGAAGGACTCTCAAATAAGCCAGCTCCATCGGACCCACCTATAGATATCATTCCATCAACAATCGAACACATCACAATGGCCATCAGACAAATCAAGAGTGGAAAAGCAGTAGAACATGATAAAATACTACCTGCAGTACTACAATCAGACAGAGAAGCAACTGCAAACATGCTCCACGTTCTACTCAAGAAGATTTGAGAGGAAGAACAAGTGCCGACAGATTGAAAAGAAAGATATCTCATTAACACACCAAAAAGGAGATCTACAGAGACATCACACTGCTATCATTACTGGGAAAAGTTTTCAAGTATTGCTGATCTGGATGAAAGATTCAGTAGACGTCCATCTTCGAGGTCAGTAGGCTGGATTCCACATGAATGGCATTCATCAATATACATCAACTTCATTAACTAAGAGAAGGAGTTTGGTAGTGTGGAGAGGAGGACTTTGTGGAACCTTCTCCCACACTATGGTGTGCCTGAGAAGATTGCCAGCACCATACGAAATTCATACGACAGATGACACTGCAGAGTCATGCATGTAGAACAGCTGACAGACTTATTCCAAGTGAGGACCAGAGACAGACAAGACTGCCTACTCTCCCCCTTCTTCATTCTACTAGTGATTGACTGGATTATGAAGACCTCCACATCTCAAAATAAGCACGGAATACAATGGACAGCTTGCATGCAAATAGACGATTCGGACTTCACAGATGACATAGTCCTTCTGTCCCATACACACAAACAAATGAAGGTCAAGACAACCAGTGTAATGGAAGCCTCTGCATCAGTAGGTCTCAAAATACACAAGGGAAAAAGTAACATCCTCAAATACAACTCGAAGAACACCAATCCAATCACACTTGATGGAGAGACTCTGGAATAGGTAGAAACTTACATGTAACTGGTCAGCAGCATCGTCGATGAACAAGGAGGATCCGGTGCAGATGTAAACGAAACGATCGGCAAAACAAGGACAGCATTCATACAGTTGAATAACATGTGGAACTCAAAACGACTATCAGCCAACATCGAAGTCGGAATCTTCAATACGAACGTCAAGACAGTTCTACTATTCAGAGCTTCATCTTCCAGAACTACCACAACCATCATCAAAGATGTACAAATATTTACAAACAATTGTCTACACAACATACTCAATGTCCGTTGGTCGGATACTATCAGCAACAACCTACTGTGGGAGAGAATAAACCAACTTCTATCTGAAGAGGAAATTGGGGAAAGACGTTAGAAGTGGATAGGATATACATTTGGGAAGTCATCAAACTTCATCACGAAGCAAGTACTATCTAGCAATCGTGAAGGAAAACAGAAAAGAGGAAGACCGAAGAACACATTGTGTCGAGAATTGGAAGTCTACATCAAAAGGATGAGTAGCAACGGGAAGGGATTGTCCAGGACAGAGTTCTATGGAGAATGCTGGTGGGCAGCCTATGCTACTCGGCGAGGGGTAACAGGCGTGAAGAAAATAATTTATCAAGATATAAGTACTTAACTAATGAAAGAAGGTAAAACGGTCGCACACGTATCGATTGATTTGATTTATTGTGATATTGTGCACAATCAACTTGTGATTATCTAACATTTAGGAAACATCTATCGCACTATTCTCAATAGTAACTAAAACGAGATAGAAATAATTTATACTTACGGAATGAAAGGCGACGTCTACAGATAAAGACTCTAATTGATGTTCCGTGGTTGGTAGCTCATCTAAAAAATGGGCGATAGCCAAACTACCACGAACAACCATGTCGCGTCGTCTACTTTGGTCCCGACAGCGAAGAAGATTACGACTTCGTAAAAAGTAAGCTTGATTTAATCGTGAAGTGGTAAGATATGCCGTAGTCGGTTGATCAGAACCATTTTGTATCTCTACGCGTGCTGTGAATGACACATTTTGTGAATTTGGAAAACGATTTTCAGGAGACACGGAAAAAACCAGTTGGGAAACAGTCGTGTAGTAAGGCAGTAAACTTTCACCTCGGGGCTTAGAATCATAGCGACTAAGGTATCTAGATCACAGAAATCACGAAAAAGGAGTATAATCAAGGAAGAGAACAAAATATACAGATTTTAAGACACAGAAACTTTAATTACTTGTGAACAATGTGAAAATGTTAGCTGTGACAGTGGCTTTGTAAATGGCGAGACCAAAATATGTAACCGCTATCAAACTTTTAGCAACCAGGTACTTTTCTTAAAATTAAATGGTTTTATGATGTAAGTATTGGACGTCACATATAAATGAAGTTTCATAGTCTTAAAAAGCGGCGCAAAATTACTTGGATGAAGGGAATTAGTAAAACTAAATCCAGGTGTTCGTTGACATGTATCAATTATCAATAAGGGAGTAAATAGACTGTTAGTGTAAACTAGCACAATAACACATGTTATAGAAGAATTTCTGGATGTGAACGATTTAAGAATAGATGAGCCTGATAAATTCGTGCAAAAAATAAAAAAATTTAAGCTGATCAAGGGACGCATGGATTGTAAATGCATACCAGTTACTGTTATGAAGTGGGTAAATAAAAAGATACAATGCCTTTGTTATCTTGTCAAAAATCCACTTAGCTAGTGAGTATTAGAGCAAGTAAGTGGGAGCTTTAAAAATTCAGCCAAGTGACACAACGGAGCCTGAAATCGTAGGTCGATAAAAACAAAACTTGGAGAATAATGCTGTCGGATATATCCAGCACAAGTGTCCATAAAATAAAACTGCTATCGACAAGACTGAGGATTGTGAGAATCTAAAGGAAAGGGTATACAGAAAGTAACTATTCTTGGATTTAAACAATCACAAAAGCAATCCTAAAAAGGACTTACAATTTCAAAAAACTCAGCAAAGCTATTTTAACTTCATCATTAGGGAAAAATCCCAGAATAGACTGTGGAAGCGGTTTCGTTGGAGGCCGTTTAGAGGAATCCGAACCTTGCTCAATTGCAAACTGTACAGTCTGCGGTAATTCTTGTCCATTCTGTAACAGAGTGTAATACATTATTCATAAAATATGAACAATGAGTAGAAAGGTGTCTTTAATGTTGACTAAAATAAAATCAAGAAATCTAGAGATTCGGTCAAAGATGTATCCGTAAATAGCCAAGGAAAAATAGAAACCTAACATAAGACCAGTGGGGAAATTTGTTTCTTATTTTGAAAACACATGACAATCGTCCATATTCTCAGGCATGGTTCGGTGTGACAATTCTAATGTTTTCTACAAAGAGAATAACTTTTCGCTGGCGGCTATGATCAAAATACTTAGAAATTAGTAATAGATACCGACTTACTACAAGTTTAACTCTCGGTTGACAAACACATATAGTAAAATGAATAAGTCATTTGTTAGACACTCGTATACTCGACTACCCAGCTACACTCTAATTGTGAGGTTTAGTGATACTACTTAGTTACTATTCAGAAATGAAGCTTTGGTAAATGGACTGGAATTATAATCGGTGATCCATCGTTTTTAAACAGACCCACTGGTCGTATTGTTGTTGCAAAGTGTGAAATTAGTGCGCCTTTATAAAATACATTATTTGCACATCTGCCTTCAGTTGTCCTGCATGTGCTTCATGATTTTTCCAAATCTGTTGTTATTACACTTGCTTTCTATTCCCTTCATGTTGTTTTCAATTCAATTTTCTGCTCCCCGTCATTCTACTTTCGATTAGTATTATATACTAACATCTGTCAGCATAAGTAGCATGCACCACAGTATCAGTAGCCGCGGTAAATTAAATTAAAACTGTTATTCAGTTAGTATTTGATGAAAATGTTTGGACTGTTAATAAGACAACTGAACAGCTGGTTTCGGTCGTCATAATTTGAGTTAGTACCATTATTTGATATGATAAAATCCTCTCTCTTTATATATATATATATATATATATATATATATATAGTGTGTTGAATGTACTATACATACTTTAGGTTAAATATAACACAATATAAAGTTAGGTAAATTTTATCTACAATCACTTACTAAACGTTTGATCGTTGGTAAGATTGTATGCAATTTACTGAGCCAGTGCAGTGATTCCAAAAAACCCCGAAATCGAGCAACAAAAGAAAATTGAAAACCATTTCTTCAAGAGGTCACAAAATGTGGGCAATCAGGTATATATCGAAATGCACATATATTACGTGTTTTAACGACCAGTAATACTTGGAAAACTGTAGAGCTTGTCCTACGTTTAATGATATGAAAAATGTTTCAATATCGTTTTGGCAAAAAACGATTGGAAGTTTTGTGTGTGCAGAAAAATCAACTGAAATCTACGATATTTATATTATATTATTATTTATATTATAACTGTCTCAAAACTGTTAGAAATCTCGAAGATCAGTAGCTGATTGATATCGTCGAAATTCTAAGTTGTGTTTGATTTTTGATGGGGGACTTTATTTTTACACGTGGTCATCAATTTTCATCGAACTTAAATCCTCATTTACATCCTAAGGATAGGACCCTATTTACTTGATTTTTTAACAGTCAAAACCAAATGCAATCGAAAATCAAAAATACTTAATAAAACAAAAATGGTGACAATTAACATCCTTGAAATTTTCGGAAGATGACACCACAGGCTGCGAAACTGACTAACCACCGAAGCGAAGGCCAATGGTCGCAGACAAGTGGACGAGACCATTAGGGCGAAGATGTACACTCACGCTGCAAAAGATTTGTCGTTTGGATTGAATTTTGACATCAAAGGAGTTTCTGTAAGGTCTAATTCAACCAAACCAGCGATATCTCGAAGACCAGAAAGGACAGGTATGCTACTTAGAGGATTTGAGCTGAGATCTATACGTTCAATGGACACTGGAATAAATCCAGCACTCGTTGAAGATAACGGAGAAAAAGCATTCAAATGAGTTAGTCGGTTGTTTGATAGATTGAGAACAGCAAGCTTTAGAAAGAAAATAAAGCAGAAAATTGTATTTAGTTTTTTTAACGGTTTCAAAACAAATTGGATTTTTACACATTGTATATGGCGTGTTCTTCATAATTACTAATGCCCAAACCATTCACCTAAGAGCGTAAAAATGTGGACTAATTCTCATTTAACAGCTACTTTCGTTTATCACCCGTTAAACAATGCACCTGAACTGAAGTGGTTTTCCTTGTTTATTGTTTCGCTACTTAACATATGTGAATTCTTCTAATCAATTGCTTTTTAATAAATGAGCAACATGTTTATTCATAGAATACACAAACAACTAATTTTATATGTTTAAATAATCCGATTACATAAAAAAGCTGTTATGATCTCTTACTATGACCCAGCTACTTTTATTGTTTAGTATTCTTCAGCATGTTCCAAAATCAAAACATGATTGAAAAGAAACGAAATTATATTCCAAATAAACAAAGCTGAGTGGGAATAGGAATAATAATAAGGAAAACGTTGATATATATATATATATATATATATATATATAATTTTACACAAGATTCTAGAGTCTTCCCCAAGTATCCACCGGCGCTGATCGGCTAAGAAATGGCCAACCGACGTGCTCTGACACAATCCTGCACGGAACATGCTTTGATCCAATCTATATCCTGCTAAAAAAGCAATCAGTCAAAAGCAACGTATAATTTGGCATGGATTTGATTGACTCAAATATCCCTACCCCATTAACACAGTAAGAGGAATTATCAAGTACCAAAAGTAGTAGTAAAAAAGACTACATTCGTGGCGAGAGAACGAGTCATGAGAATAGATTGACATGTACAACTGTGACCGACTTTGAGTTATGCCAATTAATTTTTTCAACCATAAGTCACGTGCGAACCCCGATCAAGTAGGCTTTATCTGCCAACGAAAATGAATGACAATGAAGTCACGATTTTATTATCCAAGTCACAGAAACATTTCAGCGCTTTACAACCTTCCAAAGATAAAGAAAACGGCAGTCAGTTTTACTGTTTTTCATGATTTAGGGTCCTTTCTTCCTAATTAGTGAACATGACAAACGAAAATCGGATGTAAAAAGTCTGACATTCGACTATCGTATGGAACGCCATACAATACCACGAGACTAAATCTAACAAGTGTGTTAAGTTAACAGATTGTGTAGTTGTAAGTGGATCTGAGGTGTGAAAAATTTCATTGACTACTTATCGCCATCGCTCTCTTACAACTATCGTTGGTCATTCGTGATTTTAGAAGCTTTTTGAGAGTGGATATTTTAAGTGGTCTTAAATAGAAAATCTTTTCGTGAGGAAAACATACTTTGGAAGTTGTAAACCGATAAAACAGTTACCTGTGCTTGGTTTTGTTTCAGGATAGTAATCAAAGTATGAACCACCGCTTGTTTGTTAAGAGGTAAATATAGTCCCTGACTTAAAAGAACTGGATCCGTGTGCAGAGAAGAGAGATCTAAACTACGCGTAGTAGGTTGATAACGCTGAACAAAGCACTGCTTTAATGCTTCAATCCAAGTTTCTGGCAGAGGAGAGGTATTCGGTGATTCATTTCTTTTATCAGACGAAGAAGGGACTCTGGGCTCGGGGACAATTGTTATGTCGGTAATTAATTGTGAACCCTGACTTGGATCGCGTAAATTTTGGAGTGATTTGCGGTAACTTTGAACCTAAAAAAACACATAGTTGTTACTAGTTTTTAATAAAAAGACAGAAAATATCACTTTGTTTAAATTCAGTAGTTGTATGATTAGGTATTTCGAAGATGTGGAAAGAAATAATAGGTACAGACCTGTATTTTAAGCCTTAGACTATACTGGATATAAGTTGGGGACAAAGTGAGTACTCGATCGAAAGTAGAACAGGAGTTAAAATTGTGACTTAACGGTACGTAAATCGACGTCAACACTAAGGAGACAACCTTAACTATCGTAATAACTAGTCAAGCAAGGTGGATGCAGATAATTAAATACATCAAAAGTTCGGGACGATTATCTGACATGCAAGCAGTAACATTTATTACCTTGGTCTGAAGATTAAAAGACCTCAACTTATCCAAATATACTAACTTTTTCATGACATCGGTTATTTTTATTGTTAGATGTAAAGACTTGAACAGGTGTATTTACTGAATGTGGTATAAAGATAACGGACCGATTTAATCTGAATTATGTAAATTACAGGAGTACTTACATCCTTTTGTCTGATTTTTGCATGCATTAGTGCATTTCTTCCTTCAACGCAAGTATTATAGAACCGTAGCTGTGTCCCAACAATGGTGGTGACCAACTGTTGAAGATCCATCATCGGATGATTAGCGCCATGGACAATAGTAATTCTCACCCAAACTTCGCCGGGAGCCAAGCCACTATTTTGGGCAGTGACAACAGAAGCTGCTGATCCACCGATAAGCTAAAAATAAGAACAAGCATTGCGTAACCCTATAATTAATTTTACAAACAATATAGGATTGTTCTCGTTTTCAATGAGTAAATTAATAAGCGGCGGAGTTCCACCTATACATGTGTTTACTAGTCCGACTGTAGCTCTGTCAACTACATTGGATATACAACTAAGATACTGATCCGTTGCACTTTTAGACATCACCCTTCATGAGCGAGTAAAAAACAGAGGACATCCTAGAACACAACACTGGATACTAAAATTGGTGTTAAGGTAGCTTTTCAAGTCTTTTTAATCTTGTCCAGCCTATCCTGTGATTGAAAACCTTGGTTTTTATATACAGTGGAAGCCAGAAAAATTCATGTAGATAAACATAACTTTTCGTTCAAAAGGTTTGTATAAACACTTTCTTCTTTTTTGACACTTGATCAACTTCCAGTCGCACTACTTTGTATTTTTATTTTTAAGTCGTAAAGAAAGCACGTTTGCAGTTAGCTACTGTCCTAATGTAAAGTTAATCAAAAAATTAATTAAGACCATAAAATGCCAAATGTGTATTAGAATAGTTTTAGGGGGATGATAAAAATGTCAAGACAGGTACTATCTAGATTTGACTGCATAAACCAGCGTTGCTTGTTAACAAAGACCTCTTGAAATATTTTTTTGTCGAAACCCATGTAGCGATACATACTTCTCAGACTTACATTCATATTCATAGCACGTTTTAACATATCCACATTGTTACCAGAAATTATGGACTTGCGACCACTACTGAACTTCCCTCCATGTTCGCGTCGTCGTAAATATTCGTCAGAGGTATCAATACGTCGATCATTTTCTCCATCTAAAAACCAAAAACGAAATATGTAACCACGAAATTAACACTATACATGAGTGTTCCATAATCACGGGTTTATCCTATGGAGCTGAGGAACTAAACTACTTTAAAATAACCCTCGGACAAAAAGTGATATTTAGAAGTCACTGACAGTCGGTTGTTTCAAAAACACATCCTGAACAAGTGTATTGTTACCTTGAGTAGTTAGAAGGCTGAGAGTTATTGATAATTAAAGCCACATCATCCAAGCACTTAGGTAGACCAAGGTTGAACAAATAAAATGATATTTAGTGGGACGCATCTACCAAAAATGACTAAGTACAAATGAGGAAATCAGAAGTCACTAGGGAGAAGTGACCATGCAGTCATCTTGTTCAAATTCATGGCTGAGATTGCCTGTCAAACAGTCGCGCCGGCCGTCCTAACATATGGAAGGAAGACATGGAGGCAATCAACTCCGCAGCATCGGCTGAAAACTGGGAACTTGACTCTAAGGCATCAGTACAAGAGGCATGGACTCTTTTCAGGCAGTTATACAATCGGGTAACTCAACCATACATACCCTGGACAGTTCCAAAGAAGAAGCACGGCCATTCCTGGATAGACCGGGATATTCGACGTTTACTAAGACGAAAGAAGAAATGTTGGGACGTTGCTATCCGCCTTGGCACAGCAGGTACGATGGAACGCTACAGATCGGTAAGAAACAAATGTATAACAAAAATTCGGGAAGCTCAAAGAAAATATGAAATGCAGTTGGCACAATGCACTCAAGCAGCCCAAGAGAATATTCTCGTACATAAACTACAGAACAAGGATGCATCATTGGATTCCCAACCTAATTAAAGAGGGGAGTGAATCTGAAATGATAGAGGAACATCAGGAAAAAGCAGAGGCTATGACTGACTATTTTGGGAGTTTTCACACAGGAACCTCCTCTAGAAGAAGAACCAGACCAAAATAAACAGTCAACAAACCACCTGCTAACCGTGGACTTCGGTCAAGATGATGTGCTTAAGGCTCTTAGCACTTTAAATATGGAAAAGTCAACAGGACCAGATGAACTACACCCCAAAATATTGAGAAATATTGCACAATATATCGCGGCCCCACTGACTGTGGTATTCAACATGTCACTTGATCAAGGAGTGCTACTTATGGACTGGAAGGACGCAATCGTCACTCCCATGCACAAAACAGGTCCACGACAAGTTCCATCGAATTACAGACATGTAAGCCTCACCAGTGTTGTGGTTAAAGTAATGGAAAGAATAGTCAAACGGACCATAATGGCATTTATGGAAACCAATAACTTGCTAAACATGGAACAACAAGGTTTTAGAAAGGGTCTATCCTGTACGATGAACCTCCTTATAGCAAGGGAGTTCTGGATTAATGCGCTAGACAACGGAAACTCAGTAGATGTCTTCCACATAGATTTCAGTAAGGCTTTTGACAAGGTACCAACTAATAGGCCGCTATTGAAGTTGGAAAACCTTGGTATTGCCCGACCTCTTTTAAAATGGATTAAGGATTTCCTAGTAGGTCGTAGACAAAAAGTAAGAATAAATTCCAAGTGCTCCATCTGGAGACCAGTACTTAGTGGAGTACCCCAAGGTTCAGTCCTAGGTCCTTTACTTTTTATAATGTATGTTAATGATCTTCCAAGTATAGTACAGTCTCCAATGTTATTATACGCTGACGATGTAAAAGTTTAGCGAGTAATAACTAAAGACAGACGCATGTGCTCTTCAGGCAGACTTCAATAACATGACAAACTGTTCTAAAGAGTGGCCGATGCCTAACAACGCGGAAAAGTGTCTACGTGCACTTTGAGGATTCAAAGGTTAATAGTTACAACATAGGGGATGTGCCATTACCAGTAGTTCGGTCTCATAAGGATCTAGGGGTGACAGTAAGTCGTGATCTTAAGACGACGGCCCATTGCCGGGAGGTCGCAGCTAAGGGATTTCAAACCCTCTGAACTTTAAAACGGACATTCACTAAGTTAGACACTACCATGTTTACCACAGTATACACATCCTTAGTGAGGACTAAGCTAGAGAACTGCGTTCAGGCTGCAAGCCTCTGTTCAAAAGGTGACTCGGATATCCTGGGAAAAGTACAGGGGGCAGCTACCCATGCAATTCCAGAACTCCGAGGCTTATCATACAAAGAGCGGCTTGAAAAGCTGGACCTCTTTACTGTCTCATCGCAGACTAAGGGGAGAACTAGTTTTGATGTACAGAATACTCAGACATGATTTCGGACCTAACTTATTCTCTCTTTTTCTTACCACTAGATCGTGACGTCTCAGAGGACATAGCAGGCGAGTAGAAAAGTCAAGAACGAACAAAATACCCGCGGCATACAGGTCTTCATACCGAGTCATCAATACTTGGAACCTGCTGCCCGAAGCAGTGGTGTCTGCACCTTCAATTGACTCTTTCAATAGAAGACTGGACACTCACAGAATCATACTAGAAAAGGAATAAAATAGGCCGTAGGCCTTCTGTTCTTACTACACAAATCTGAATAGCACATCAGTCAATAAATTCGGACGGAGAACGAGTCTAATCAGTTTTATTGAGAATAACTCTACTGAATGTGTCTAGAATGTAATGCATCAGCGTTCAACAGAGTATAAACTCTGTAAGTTTTGAATAAATAACTCCAAAATTATGGAAATTCAGCCTCTCCTATGGGAGAGCACATATACAGCTGTCCATATACAAATAATCACACATAGGCCAAACTATCGCGTATGTTTGTAAAATATATGAGAAACTCCAAGTACTTACGACTTCTCCACCGATAGTGATTAGACTTATTGCGGTGATTCCCGTGAGGCATACTTGCAGGGAATATGCTGGCGCTTAATGACCTTAAGGCTGGTTCAAACAAACACTCACATCTGAAAAATAAACCAATGAGTCTCTCATTTATTAAAACCTTCTTTTGAATAATTTCAGCTTGGTACAATGATTTTTTAATTAAATTGATGTCAAAGGGCTCAAAGTTTTCTCAATGAAGTTGATTGGACTAAAGGTGATAACTGGACGCTCCAAAGAAACAGTTCTTAAATATTTCGACATTTGGATTGATCCCATTAGTTATACTCAACACGCTTCAACTGGAGGAGCTCAGCCAAACATTCGCATCATATCACTACTGGGTACGACGTACTACATAATCCTCGCAACACCTAGTCAGCATAAATGGTTCAAATGGTTCAAATGGTTGTGGACGGAATAGAAGAAGCTTTCGCTTAACAGGCTTCCGTGTCTAGTAGCAGGGGATCACCAAATCCTCCAGGCAGGAACCTAGGTATGTTAACAATAAAGAGGAAAAGAAATTGGTAAATCATAGTGTGATGCTGTCCTTGGTCCTTAAGAATAGGTCAAGTTGCCTCTTGAAGGACTCCTGAGAAGTCGCTTGGACTAGCTCGGCCGGCAGCGAGTTCCAGCTTTTGACAACTCTTAAGGAGTAGAAGTTGTGTCTACATTCCGACTTGCTATGTTGTGTTTCCAGTTTCTGGGTGTTACCCCTTAGGTTATTGTTCGAACTAAGCTTAAGTAGGTGTTTAAGAGGATGTCCAGAAGTGTTAAGAATACTATAAGCCATTAATAAATCACCTCTAAGACGCCTATACTCTAGTGAGTAAAGGTCTAGTGAACGGAGGCGTTCTTCGTAAGGCTTAGATTTGAGTCCTCGAACTGATTTCGTGGCTCGCCGTTGGATACGCTCCAAAGTGACCTTGTCCTTTTGGAGTGAGGGGGGAGTACTATGTTTCCGTACTCTAAATGGGGACGGATGAAACTATTGAAGATTGTGTGGAAAGTTCTTCCGTCAAACTGGCCAAAAATGCGCCTCAACGTTACCAGTGCAATGTTTGCTCGGAAGGCGTTTTTGCCACAGTTAGCGTAAGACTTTAAGTCATGGGGCACCAGGACTCCTAAATCTTTTTCGACTTGGGATACTACTAGAGAGGAGTTTCCTAAGTTGTAACTGTAGTTTGCGACATGTCGCAGATGGACTACTTTACACTTTGAAGTGTTAAAGGTAAGTCCGTTATCGTCTGCCCAACTTTGAAGTCGAGTCAGATCCTCTTGAAGTGCCTGTATATCGTCTTGGTTGCGTATCTCTCTCCAAAGTTTCACGTCGTCGGCAAAAAGTAATAAGTCTGACGTTACCTGTTGAGGAAGATCATTTATGTAGATCAAGAAGAGAAGAGGCCCTAGTACTGAGCCCTGGGGGACCCCACTAGGACATTCCATAGCTTGAGATAAAGTGAAATTAACCCTAACCTTAAAGTGTCGATTTTTTAGGTATGAAGTAAGCCAGTCGATTAGAGGTGGTTTGATACCTAGTCGTTTGAGCTTGTTGATAAGACACAAGTGGTTAACCTTACCAAAAGCTTTTGAGAAATCAAGGTAAATGACATCAACCTTTCCCTTGCGATCGAGGATGCTTGTCCATCTGTCCACCGCAGTCAGCAGGTTGGTTATACAAGAGTAACCCTTCCTGAAACCATGCTGTTGGGGTGAGAAGAAATTTAAGGACAGTAGATAGTCATTTAAACCGTCGCATATCAGGGACTCCATGAGTTTTGAAGGTAACGACAGAAGAGCTACCGGCCGATAACTTGAAGGTTCATTGCGTCGACCACCTTTGAAAATTGGTGTGATGTGAGCCAACTTCCAATTTTCCGGTAATTTGCCTCGGCTAAGCGAGTGTGAAAACATCACGCTAAGTGGCGTTGCCAGGATTGAGGCTGCCTCCCTCAGTATGGCAGGATGAACCATATCCGGGCCAGGAGAAGTGTCAAGTCTTAAGTGCTGCAGCTTCCGGAACACCAAGTGAGCGCTTAGGTCCACTTCAGAAAGTCCTGTGGAATTGCAGATGAAACTGTCGTCAATAAAGTTGATGTCAGCCGGTTGAAATGTTTGAGAGTAATGTGCCGCCAGAAGGTTAGCGGCGTCGCCATCATTGTTGGTCGGGCCGTTAAGACCTAGCAGTTGAGAAACTCCTGTTTTGGCTTGACGAAGAGAGGCTGCGTAACGGAATAGGCTTCTAGGGTTAGAGGCGAACTTGTCCATAAGCTTTGTTTGGTACTGAAGCCTGTCTTCTCTTATAGCCTTCGTGCATATGTTCCTGATATGTTTATATTGCCTATACGCTCCATCGTTATTAGTTCGTTTGTATTCCGCCCAACAGTGTCTTTTGCGACTTAGCAGGTGAAGGGTACGGTTCTTGATTACTGTAGGTGGCTTGCAGCTTTTGGGAACCGTTTGAGGAACTGAATGGTCTGTAGCACATAAGAGCGTGTGCAGTAAGAAGTCCCAATGACCATCCACATCGAGTTGAGGGTGAACATCCCAAACCACCTGTTGTAGATAGTCATGTAAAGCTGGCACATTCAGCCGTTTAAAATTCCAACGCAAATCATTGTTGGGATACCTTAGCTTAGTTTTGATGACAAAACTGAAGGCTATGACGGCATGATCGCTCTTTCCCAGAGGAGCCAGGATTGAGAGGTTGTCGACTAGGAATTCTTCGTTAGTGAATACACAGTCTAAGCGCGATGGTGTCTGACTGTTTCTCCAACGAGTTGCCGACCTCACATTTTCATATAAGCCCAAGTCATCGATGAGGTTGAAGAACCGAGCTTCAGTTGAGTTGTCGCCTCCAGTGTACTTGTGTTCCGCGAAGTTGACTCTAGGGAGATTAAAGTCCCCTAGAATCAGGATGTGTGTGAAACCGAGACGGATAGAGCGGGATAGTCCTTCCAGCATACGACTATCGTACTCGGTGTCGGCAGTTGGCTTCCTGTAAATGACTCCGACTAGACACCTGGAAGTACTAGACAACCTTACAGAGCACCATATGGATTCCTCAAGATTGTTAAACTCGAGGTTGTGAACCTGGTGCACCTCCAAGCAAGAGCTTATGTATATGGCTACTCCGCCCCCAATTCCTGTTTTTCTGTCGTTGCGGAACAAAGTCATCCCAGGTAATGCTAACTCTTGGTCCGAGAACTGAGAAGATATCCAGGTTTCAGATATTCCTATCAGATGGGCCTTGTTAGCGTTGCTAAGTTCACGTAGTTCATCCAGTTTGTTTGGTAGACTCGCGGCGTTCATATATAAGCAGTTTATGCTTTCAATTTGGAACGCGTGAGCTTCGTCCTGTTTTTCTGTATGAACCTTATGTGAATGGACAGGTAGCCCACCTATATGAGGTTTGCCGAGGTGGTAGGCCCTGTCCTTTACACGTTTTTTTTATCGTTTAGACAGTCCACAAGTGGAATGGTCAGCTCCAACTTGCCTTTGTTCTTGGTCCTGACTTCGTATGGCCTATCCGGGTGCATGTGGATTCCAGGTGGCAATCGACGTCTATTAGCACGAAATGCTTCCACAACTGCAGCCGCCATGTGGGAAGATGGGAAGGTTATCTTCATTAGACGGGGTCTAAGATCACCGTCCTTCTTGGCTAGTCTCGTCACATGCTGAGTCAGTATGTGTTTGAGCCTCAAGGACTGTTTGATGAATTTCCATTCCCTGATGTCAGTCTTTGATTGAGTAGGGTCTGCATTTTCCGGTATACCTTGGACAATTATATTTCTTCCGCGGAAAAACTTCTCGCGAGATTCTTTAGGGACTTTTCGTATGATATTGCGCTCAGAGTACGGTATATCGGGCAATATTCTTACGTTACCATCTGATTTCAGTAAGTGACTTGCTAGCAAGACGTCCTCTACGTCGGTAGCATTCTTAAATGTTACTCGGAGAAGCCTCGGGTGATTTAGATGCTTAGAATCCTTTCCTCGAGTGAGCCGGGTGACCGTCAAAGGCTCTATTCTAGGAAGTTCGAGCTTCTTGTTCAATTCACCCCACAGCATCCTGTCGTTTTTATCCTGCAGACTGAGAGGAAGGTCAGGATTGTCGACGAGGTTCATGATAATGAGAGAATCATCACGAACTGTTGTTAATTTACCAGGTTTCACGATGGGTTCACGTTTAATAACTTGTTGTTTGGAGGTCAGTGTGCGTTTATGAATCTTGGGCTCTTTATTGACCGGACGAACAGTCTTGGGGGTAGACTGTGCGACTAAATCACCAGTTATTTTCCGTGCAGCAACACTTGGGTTGCTCGGCTTAGGCAGTGATGCCTGGTTCTTTTGGGCTCTCTTAACGTGGGTCGAATCACCTGCAGGGTTTTTAAGAACCACTGTTGTGTTCAGGGACCCTGAGCTGGGAGACCCGAGTTTGCCTAGGGAGTCTAGTGCCGTCGACGTAATGATGGTACTGAGCCTCGACACGTCGTCATTAGTGTTGATAGATAGTATGCTTCACGACACATCTATAATCTCCCTCATCTATGAAGTTTAGTTTCGCTGGGTTTTGGATCCTCCATTACAAATGTGCCTGCTTCCGGTCGGGTAACATGAAATAAAATGAAGCTTGTTCTAAATTCGTGGTTGCTATTAAACGCAACTCGATTTCGTAAACGTGGCAGTCTGCTCAGCGACTAATTAGAATGAAGAGGGAATTATTATATCCGCCATCTTTGTATGCAGTGGCAGCCGGCTTTCTTCGTTTTGTGCGTTTTCCGCTATTTCTTTTGTGTAGCTACATAATTTATTGTTTCAGTGTGCTAAAATGCAGAAGTTAATGTAATGCTCTAAATGTTGGAGCGAATTTTTTTCTGATTTAGCTTTGTTTTCTTGGTTTTTGCTACTGCTACTAAAGTCAATGTATTTCTTCAGCCAAGCTGGCTGGTCTTATGTTTTAAAACGATAATTGGTTTTGTTTTGACTTGTTTTTTAGATATCCAAAGACGAGGTTCGTTTT